CTGTGGGGAGAAGTACCAGGTGCTGGCTCGGAGGGTCACGCCCGAGGGCAAGGTTCAGTACCTGGTGGAGTGGGAAGGGACCACCCCTTATTGACTAGCCCACAGGGGGTGCCAGGAGCCCTGAAAGCAAAGAGACAGTGGAAGCCGCAGGCTCCCAGGTTCTCTTCAGGGAGTGGACGGGGAGGGAAGCAAGACAGAGCTGCAGGTGCCTGGCCCAGGCCCTTCTGCGCCTCCGCTCTGCCGTTCTGCCTTGGGCCTCAGGTTCATCACCCCTTTGCCCGTGTCTCTAAGGTCAAAATGCCCCCACACACTCTGCACTCCTTCAAACTGTTCCTTCCAATGTGTGTCGCCCTGGCTCTGGGATGCTTTTCCTGAAGCCTGAATCTGTCTTTGTCCCCGATTTTGTGTCACTTACCTCTCTCTCCCCTTTTGGGTGTGTGTGATTAGACACCTACACATGCATGCTGTCCCTTGTGTAACTACACACACGAGCCCAGATAAGGGCAGAACAAGAACCGCTGAGAAAGTGGGTGAAGGTGGGAGCTTTTCTCTCCCACTTTCCTGCCCCCCCTTCCCCCCGCCCCCGTCCCTCCCGATCCTTGGAAATGGTGGTGAGGATAGGAGGCTTCTGAAAGCCTGTGAGGCAGAGACCGGCCTCTTCACTCCTCAGGCCTTGAGAGTCCAGGGTCTCTGCCTCAGAGGCACCAACACCAGAGCCCTATGAAGGCTAAGGTGTCAGCTTCTGGGGTCCCAGTTTCCTTTCCTTGGCTACACTGCTACATGGTCTTGGTGACCATGGAGTGGGGGGGCCTGGCCTTGCTGGAATAGGGGTAGCCTTGAAAACCTGAGACAGGGAAGGAGAGTGGGAGGAAAGGAAAGCACGTCCTGCTAAACCTCCGAATGTTTCTGACGCCTCCCACCCCAGACCACCACACACGCAGCTCAGTACACATTCACTCACACATAAGCTTCCATCCACATGTGCCCTCACCCTCCAGGCGCGCGCGCACACACACACACACACACACACACTCTCTCTCTCTCTCTCTCTCTCACACTCCCCTCTAGTGACAGCCTGGCTCCTGCCTTTGGCTCTCCCTTGGCCCTCTTCCAGGGACCATGTGCTGCAACTAAATGTGAAAGTCCTGCTCCTGCCCCTTCTTTCAGCCCCTGACCCAGCTCTGACCCCATTGGGAAGCACAGGGGACTTACCCCTGGCTCCTCTGCTGTATCCCCTGCCCCCCCCCACACCCACCCCTGAACTGACAATCACTTTCTGGGACAGGTTGGGAGTTTTAAAGGGCCTGTGTCATTCAGTCCCCTCAAAGAGAAGCCCTTGTCAGTGGGAGATAAAAAGAATTCTTAGAACCAACATTAAAACTCATACCAGTCTGGAGGGAAACCAAAAATGGGAGGGGACGCCTCATTTTTGCTGCTTCCAGAAATATTAGAAACTGACTCACTTGATTGAAAAATGGACCAATGTGCCTTGACTCGGGGTGGGGGCCATGCACCAGATGGGGACCGGACCTGCCAACTGCTGCACGGCCTTCAGCTTGGCTGGGCTTTGCAGGCTGCCAGCTGCTAAGCGAAGGTGGATGAACAGTGAGGGGATGGTTTTTCCATTCTAGGCTGACCCCCTCCCCAGACCATCTCCCCACCTGTGAGCCTCCCGGGGTCCCTTGGATAGTTCAGATGCCTCTTGCCTTAAGCCTCAGCTTCTACAGTGCCTTTTTGATGGGACCTCACTTCCCCTAGCTTCCCTGGTGTGGACCAGACAGGGGTGGTCTGGAGGTGCTTTTCCTGGCGTGGATTAGACAGGGATGATCTGAGGTTGGGCCCAGGTCTCCCCCTTCTCAGCCCCATAGCTGCTGCCACCAAAACCCCAAACGGGGGGTAGGTGGAAGGGGAGCTGAGAAGGCAGCACCCTGCTCGATCTGTGGCTTCCTGCCTGGCTTCAGAGAGCATAGCAACCTCCCAGGCCTGCTCTCCAGGCTTCTGAGAGCACAGGACGAGCAAGGCCTGTCACAGATGCACCGATTCTACTTGAGCTCCAGAGAGCTCTGAGCTGAAGAGGAAAAGGAGGGGAAGGGTACCTTCCCCACTTGGGAAGTCAGTATACGGCCTCGCAAGGTCGCCCTGACTCTGTACCCCAGCCTTTGATTCGTGCCAGATCATAGCTGCATTACTGCCAACTGACCTTACGATAATCCTGTGCACCTTCTAAAGATTTATGGTTTTGAGTTGCTGCTTTTAATAACATGTTATATTAAAGTTCTAATTAATGTGTCTGACTTGCCATTTAAAAGCTCCCTTTGAGAAGTCGCCTATCTCCCCCAGTGAACTATCAGCAGTTGGGTAGCAGGAGGAATTGGCTCTGGTTTCTGGTCTTGGTTCCCTGGAGATGGAGGAATAGTGGGACCCACCCTCTCCCTGGCCACCCTGCCACTCCTGCCACTGCCTACGAATGCTCTCAGCAGTATCCTCACCCTTACCACCAAAGGATGTGGGACCTTTTTTCTACTGTGAGTATCTGACCACTGGGGGAAAAAGACATTAGCTGAGGGCCACAGAGAAGTAAAGGATGAGAAGTGAACTCAGAAGTTGCCCCTATTAAAATACATAAGTACAGGCACTATAAGCTATTCCGTGCACACAAGCCTAGCGATGCAGAGTGAGTTCTGGGCGTGGTTCTGCTGGTTTGAACCTGTACCACTTTGGTCTGAGTCCTTTGGTTCAGTTCCTCTCCCTTTCCATGGCAGAGCTAATCCCTGCTGGATTCAATTCCTGGGTGTTGAGAGGGTTTAAAGTAATAACCCAATAAATATAATGGGTTATTACTTTAAATAAACTCTACATTTGGGGAAGTTTGGAGAGAGAAAAAGTCAGCTATAGGGAAGTGAAGACCAAGGATCTAACCAAATTCTGTAGTTTCAGGGGTAAAGTGTAGCCTGTTAATTCCCATAAGTGTTCACATCTGCCCTTAAAAATCTTCATTAACTATGGCTTCCCCTTTTATCTACCATCCTTTCACTTTCAACCTTTTAACTGCCCTTGGGACAAAACCACAGCTGGAGCTGGGGTGTTGTGGGGGATGTAGGGATTGTTCTTTGAGCTGACACTGATGGAATGGAAAGATGGTGAATGGCACAGGTGTCAAGAGAGACCTGGCTTCTAATTCGAGTTCTACAGTGAGCAGCTAAATAGGCCCTCCTGAGAACAGTGGTCCTCCCCAAGCTGGAGAGGGCCTGGTTCTTTGTGGTCTGGGTTAGTGTTTACAAATCTACAACAAATAGTAATCTTTAGGAGCAAGAAATTCGAATTCTCAGAAATTCCCTAAATCAGCGGTTCTCAACCTGTGGGTCGTGACCCCTTTGGGGGTTGAACGACCCTTTCACAGGAGTCGCCTAAGACCATCGGAAAACACATATATAATTACATATTGTTTTGTGATTAATCACTATGCTTTAATTATGTTCAATTTGTAACAATGAAAATACATCCTGCATATCAGATATTTACATTACGATTCATAACAGTAGCAACATTACAGTTTTGAAGTAGCAACAAAAATAATTTTATGGCTGGGGGTCACCACAACATGAGGAGCTGTATTAAAGGGTCACGGCATTAGGAAGGTTGAGAACCACTGCCCTAAATCATCAAATTATTCTTAAAATACTTCATTCTTTATACTCTTTCCTTATTGTTACCGATATCTGGGAAAAAATTGTTTAACAAATAAGTATATCAAGCTTAGCTGTATTTACAAAGAACTGGAGCCTAGAGGGAATATTTAAACCCCAGAACCAGGGGACATTACTGGATAGTTTTCAAATCATGTAACATTCAAATATCCTGGCAAGGTGAACAGTATAAGAATCACATGTCAAAAATGCCAAAGTAAGAATTTATTTTGCTTTGAAAGCTTTTAACTTGGCACACTGCTCATGGAATTTGTATAAAGTATTCTTTGTATAAACGTATTTTATTTGCAGGATAACACTTAGGACACAACAATCACAAGCAAGACTGATTAGACAGTAGCCATCTCTCTCCGACATGCTCCTGCCCTGCTTCTCCTAACCTTCGGCTCTGCTTGTTGGTGTTTCTTGCTCTTATATTTTTATTTGATGGATTCCTTCAAACCAGTAATGTCTCTATGCTTTTAAGCTTCCGTATTCACAGATAATTTTAAGACTTTTTCTCATTTCCTGAACTGATTTTTCTGGAGATTCCTGATGCAAAACACATACATGTCCTGAGAAATGCTGGGAAGGCATCCCACATGGAAACATTGGTCTAGGTCCCGGCCCCGTCCACAGCACCGTTTGGAGAGGACTGTGGTGGAGGCCAAACCATGCAAGGTGGAGTTATGCAGACCCTAAAAATCAGTGAACTCTAAATCTATCCTCTTATGTACAGAATAAAGATAGTATCACCTACCGCCAGATCAGTGGGTAGAATTAGGCAATGCAATATGTTTTTAAGTGCCAGACCCACTTACCACATAGATGAAGAACTAAAAAACTCTTCCTTTAGAATAGGCTGCAGCAGGCTCTCTGAAAGGGATATTATCCAACCTCTTCGGAAGAGGCAGTAAACAGCATCAAGTTAAGAATCAGAGTTGGGGGTTCGGCCTTCCATGCCCTCTTCCACCTGGGAAGGAGCAGGGATAGGAGCGCACCAGGTACAGGGTAGGCAGCCTGGCTGTCCCCTTAGTAACAGCATGCCACGCCCTTTCTGGACCTCAGTGCAGTTCAACTTCCTCTACTTAACCTATAAACTGGAGACAGGCTTAAACCACTGGTTTATAACTTTTGACGAAAACTTTTTTAAAAGCTCCACAAATCTCATTCAAGCTCAATACATTAAATAAACAGTCTGTTGCACTGGCTGAAGGTGGTGGAGAAGGGCAGGCAATCCCTATACCTCTGTCAACCTCTGGGGTCTGGGTGAGTCTGAGAAACACTGGTCTGGAAGTTCCGCAGGGTTCTTTCTGCTTTAGGATGCTCAGTTTCAATGCTCCACTGAGCCAGCCTGTCTCCACTGAGCAAGGCACCAGAATCTTCTGATGCCGGTCACATTCAGACTAGGAAGGTCAAGATGTATTCCCAACCCATGAGCTGTACCTAAGTGCTAATATCTCCCCAGTCCTACACACACTCCTGAAGCCCATTCCCGGACCCACTACTCAGGACTCAGGAATAACAAGTGCCATCCTTAGCTAGGAGAAATAATCTTGCTTGTCCCTGAAATTGCACCATTTCACAATCCATCCTTTTGAATAAAGTGCTTGCCAGTTCCTCCAGAAGGTGACCTTCAACCCACACACTTCTAGGTAAACAGATCACCGGTCTATTTCTCCTGAAAACCAGGAGAGTAATTCCACCCGACACTTGAGGTGGCCCAGTGACTGCTGCCGATGACAAAACTCACCCTCATTGCCACCTCCCCTTGTCCCCCACACACCCTCCTTGCCCTCACCTTGGCCACCTGTACGCAGGAAGCACTCAGAGACACGCTCCACTGGGTTCTTGCGTGGCCCGATTGGCCCAGCGTCTTCTTATAACCTCAGGAGCCTTGGCCCTTCATCCTCTACAAGTTACTTAGCTCCTCTGTGCTGACAAAAACAAGGAATCCAGAGATGCTGAGAGGCAGAAAGAGGCCTCCTTTCCCCAGAGTGCAGCTGATGAAGACTAGCGGCAGCCAGCAAGATCCACAGAAGGCCGGCCCCCTCAGTCCTCCTCCATGCCCTCCTCCAGCCACTTCAAATAGTGCACATCTCCTTGGTCCATAGGAAGACTGAAGACCTCTGGGATCTCGAAAGGATGCACCAACCTTTAGGAAGAGAGCAGAGTCCTGTGAGTGACTATGATTAGGATCAGTCAGGCGATAAAACCCAGCAGGCCAGCCTCCCTTGAGGCCTCTGCAATCTGCTGCATCCCCTGTCCACCTCCATAACCCACCACCCCTATCTACAGTGGTGAGTTAGGCCAGATAGCTTTACAGTCTCACAGACATGGGTTCAAATTCTAAGTCTGCCCCTTACTAGCTATGTAACCATGGACAAATCACTTACTTTCTCTAAAGGCCTACAAGAGGGAATGAAAATAGCACCTACATGACTGGATCACTGAGGATTAAATGAGACAAGGTACATAGAGCACTTAGCTGGTACACTGACTGGTACTGTGCATTCACTGAATGTTAGCTGCTGCCTCTATTACTATCCCACACTCATCACTGTGCCTTCCCCAACCACCACCCACCCCGATACCGCTGTATTCTCTGCTCCACTTAGAAAGTTCTCCCTGCTCCTGTTTATCCATCAAAATCCTCTTGATCCCTCAAGACCAAACAACCACTGACATTTTCCAAGGGATTTCTCTTGACATCCAAACCCACAGGAACCTCTCTCCCTTTCCCCTCTTCTTTCACTTGGCCCTCGGAACACCATACAAGTTTTCTTCATTTTCCAGACTAAAGGAACGTGAGGCCTTGGGCTTCAGTTTCCCATCTGTCAGAGGGAGTCATAATCCTCTGCTTCCTTCCTGCAGAATGAGATGCTGTCAAGTTCTCCTGAGACACACGCATCACAGCATGTGCCCAGGTGCTTACACGTTTAGGGTAATCTGGGTAATTTTACCTGGTGCCCCAGGACAATTAATTTTCTTATTTCATGGACACCTGGGCCAGTGTATGTGTTTTTATAAGCAAACATACAGTATTCAGAGAGAGTAGGACATTTGTAACACGTTAGCAGTAAGAGCTGCCACTGGTGGAGCGCTTCATGTGTCTACCTCACATACATTCATCCCAAGGGACCATTATGGCCCACATTTTATAGATGGGCAACTGAGCCACAGAAAGTATAACTAATTTGCATGTACTTCAGCTACACCTAGCAAGCAGAGTCAAGAGTTGACGCTGGAGGTTAAGCTCTGGGTTTCACCATCTTAACCATGAGGCTGTCCCTCACCAGATAAGCTGTGGTTTCTTGGTAGTGCCGGTTCTACCAAAGGTGCCTATTCCCCCACCTCTGCTAAGGTGGTAACACAGGGCCTTCTCTATCACTAGCTCTGAGGCCCGGGTATAGCCATCTATCTATTCACAGGATCCTGGTGGGAGTGAAGGAAAAGAGTTTCATCATCCAGTAAGTAACTTGCATCCTAGCCTCACATCAGAGTCAATCCGGGTGCTTCTGAAGAACGTATCTGATCCCCATTTTAGATCAATTAAGTCCAAATCTGAAGTGGGACTTAAATTGGTAATTTGAAAGACACCTCCAAGGGATAATAGTTATTAGCCAGTATTGTTTAGACCAGTCCTTCTCAAGCTTTTAACGTGCATGGGAATCACCTGGGGATCATGTTAAATGCAGTTGGGTTCAATAGGTTTAGGGTGAACATGAGACTCTGCAGCTCTATTAGCTTTCAGGCGATGCCAATTATTCCAGAACCACACTTTGAATGGTAGGGCTTGAAACTAGTAAGGCCCATTGACCCCTGGGCAACTCCAAGGTTCTTTCAGGAGTTCCATGAGTCCATTCGTTTATAATAATGCTAATTTGTTATTTATCTTTTCACTGTGTTGACATCTGCACTAATGATACAAAAGTGATGATGGGTAAAGCTGCTAGCACCTTAGCACATGCATCAAGACGATGGCACCAAACTGTACACACCTGCACTTGCATAAAGTGAAATTCACTTAAGAACATCCTTGACAAAGTGGTAAAAATTACAATTTTTATTCAGTTTTGACCCTTGAGTACATGTATTTTTAGCCCTGTGTGACAACATGGGAAGTATACAGAAAGCACCGTGCTGGTGCCTCAATTCAATATGTCCTACACTTGTCGGACTGAGTCACAAGCTAAAACCAGACTTGCTCATGGAGCACCATTTTTAAGCCTGAGTTACTGTAAACTGTCATTTTTACAAATCATGGTTACTCAGATTTGAGCATTAGATAGACACTGTCTCAGACATGAACAACGTGAGTCCATCACTCGAAGACAATTTACATTATGTGTTGCCAATTTAAAAAAATAATGTTTTCAAGCAAAAATTAGAAGTTTGGAAAACTTGAATTTATCACCATGAGCTTTCCAAGTGTCCCAATACTTAAAGATGTTTCTTATTAAGCCATATTTTGCAAAAAATGTAAAATGATGCCATTCTTCTCACTTTTGGGGGGGGTGGTGGAATATGGTTACTTTCCATAAAAATGCATTATTTACAACATTAATAACTAATGGTTTTATTATTGTTAATTTTTTAAAAAATATTAGTTTTAATTTCTAACATAGTTATCTTTTATATAACCCACATAAACAGAGCTCTTTTAGGTCCCTGATAATTTTTTAAAGTGTAAAGGAATCCTGAGACCAAAATTTTGAGAACTACTGTTTTAAACTAACTCACTCTAGCCTCTCATTTTACATACGGAGAATCTGAGGGACAGGCACCTGTCCAGGGTCATGTGGAAGGTTTGTTACTAGGTTTCCTGCTTTCCACACCCATTCACTTAATCCCTAGAGTGGTCCTGTCTGAGAAGAGACGCCAGTATTACCTGACATAGCTGGACAGCATGCGGACCTTGGAAGTCTTTGTCTTTATTAACTGTAAAAGAAAAAAAACAAAACACTGCTTTACCTCAGCCCAGCTCTGCAGCTGTTCATTTTCTCATCTGGCTATTTAGGAGACAGCATTCCCTCTAGGTCACCAGGCCCTGTCACTAACTTGCAAATGAATCTAAGGCAAGAACCTCAATCAGTTGATCTTTGCTAACTTTTCATTGGAACCTGGGAAAAAGGCCATGCTCTCACTCTTTCCGTATCAAGGCCCATCCCCAAACCCAACTTTACTCACCAACAGAATCTCAGTGGCTTCTTCTATTTCTCCATTCCAAAAGTACCTGGAGACGAGAACAAGATCAAAGTATCATGCTCACAAAACAAGCCCACTGAAATGTCAAACCTGGCCCAGTTAGGTGACTTACTGAGGTGGAAACTTTAAAATCTTTCCAAGTCCACATAAAGAAGTCTACAGTTGGCCAAGGCATGACAGGTCATCTAGTCCAATCATTCTAATGCATGCTTCTAGCATCTGCCTAAACATTCCTGGAGGTGAGAGGCTCGCCATTGCTTGAAGAAGGCCATCTACCTTAAAGGTTTTCACATGAGGTGGTTTTTCTTATGGTGTGCCAACATCTGCCACCCAGTTGTTTTCCCCAACTTCCATATGGAGAACCACCTCAGGAGAGTCGACCTGACTCTCCTGCTGTACAGAAACTCCTACGTTTTCTCTCCTCCAAACTGGCATCTCTGGCTTTTTCAACACTATTCTATACTCATGGCTTCCAGGCCCCTCCCCATCCTATGGAATGGGGCTACTTTTACCACTGACTCTCAGTGTTGAGTGCCCATGAGAGGATAAATAAGAAGCAGAGGAGGCTTCAGGGAAGAAGTGAGCCTTACAAGACATGGAAACAAGTCCAAACGTTAAAAGTCAGTGATGACATTCAGAAAAGAGTATGAGAACAGCATCACGTGAAGGGAAGGGAAAGAAATTTGGCCTGAAAATATCTACACTAACCCAGGGGAAATCTAAGATGACCTAAGCCACTGGCCCTGCCTCACAGAGCCATGGTAAAAGGATCAATTATAGGCCATCTGAAGGGAATGCCAGGCTGAAATTTTGTTCTAGGTCCCAAGCATTGGTTCCCAGACTGGCTTTATGTGAATCACCTATTCCACTTCTTAAAAATTCAAAGAACCAAACCCCACCCTCAGAGGGACTGATTAAATAGACCTAGAATGGAGCTCAGGAATTGGAAGCACAGCCAAACTTGGGAGCCATAGCAATAAATGATGTGAGCCACTGAGGCAATGACAATGTTGGCAAGTGGGAGGAGCTTTAACTATATAGCATTTTTCTGTTTTGACCTTCAGAGTAGATATTATTTTCTTCCCCATCTGTCCTTCCCTCCCCATGCCATGCCCTTATTCTCTCTCTCTTTCCAGGAGGGAAGATGAGGAACAGGCTAATCAGAGCGTTTAAGGCACAAGGTGTAGTGGGATGCTAAACTATTTTAATGAAAGAAATGGGACGGACCAGACTTAACTAAAATAAAGGTGTCAATGAAATGAAAGGCAGGCAAGGCACAGAAACAGCCTGTCACATATGCCAAACTCTCGGTTTTCCAAAGAATCTAAAAGCAATGGAGATTATCTCTTTTGATAGCCCTACTTGCCTCGCTCAGGGATGGAATGCCCATTCTGGCTTCCTTGCTAACAGCAAACTAATTAATTTAAACAAAGAATGTGCAAGCAGGACTCACTGTTCCTAAACTGGAGGGTTTCCCCTCCTTTCTCTATACACACACACAGCACATTTTTGCTTTTGTTCATAGGATGACATAAACACACTGGTTCATTTCCTTTGAATAGAAATCACCCGTGAAGTGTTGATTAATTAAATGCCTCTGAGATGTTCTTTCACAATTCCCCATTAGTTCAGTACCCATCCCACCAGCTAGGACCTGACCTTCCACTGGCCACAGCAAAACTCACAATGAGGATGCCTTGGGCAGGATGTTCACAGAGGCAGCCAGCTTCTTATCCAGTATAGCCCTAAAGCAAAGAGAGTGACAGTCAGTGGGGCAAGTGTCCAGGACCTTAAGAGAAGGAACATTCCTGGGAGCTAGATAATCATTTAGAATGCCCCCCAACCCCAAACTCCTGGCACTTTTAATGACAGGCCCAGTCTGCCTGGGGAATAGGGATTAACTCTGGACAGAGAACAAGACCTGGTTCTTTTCCTGGCCCTGCAGTAGTACGGCTGTGTGACCTTATGCAAATTCTTTCTCATTCCAGGAATAAGTATTTAAGCACCTCTCCAAGATAGGCATGTCCCCTCACTCAACCCGACTCTCCTGCTGTACAATGAGAAAATGGTTCAACCAGTAGCTTCCAATCCTTTCACCACCAAGAACTCCTTTCATTATGCCACCTCTGCTTCTATCCCACAGGTATGTATCAGGCTGCTCAGTGCTTCTGATCTTTAGGAAAAAAGCATCATAACTGTGTTTGTCTTTGGCAAATATAGGCTTGTTTCACCTTTTTTTGTAAAGGTTTCTATCGTAGCCCTAAGCACACGATCATCACCTTTGCAGACCTCTAAGACTTTTTTATTTTTTTTGACAGACTACAGATTGGACTTCCTGGTCTGATAATCTCAGATTCCCTGGTGAACACAATACAAAGGGCTTGAACTAGTATAGGTGTCATAGAAATAGGAGCACCACCAAGTCACTGATGCAAAGAAGTGTCCCCAAACATCAAACCTCAAGCCCTCAGAATCAGGCCTTGCCAAATAAACTTCATCTGAGCTCTGCTCACTGTTCCCTCCTTCCTCCAGCTACTGCCAAGAGAACCGACCTACTTTCTCTTCCCTGGGGTTCCAGGTTAAACAGTGCTCTCTATTTAAGGCTCCACGTTAATGTGGCATCACCACCACCTCATTCCTCTGCAAAGTTCTAGGAGCTAAATAAATCCCTGACCATAAGGAGAGGCAAATGGCACAAATGTGTTTAAGCAACTGCTGCGAGTCTTGCTTCCTCAATCATTTGCAAGTTCAGTGTAAGAAATTACATTTTATTAGTTCTGAAGGTGGCATGCAAACACAGGAAGTGAGTTAAACCTCTAGAAAAAAAATCCATTGCCTCATAACCACATCACTAAAGACGCCCCTTCAGATTTTAGAACACAGTAACGAGAACACTTCCTGTAACAGCAACTATGAGGAAGCCCCAAAGAATAAAAGGCAGCCCCGAGACACAGCAAGGGAGCACACAGGGGGACTGCCCCAGGTACAGAGCAACAGTCTGTACCTGGGGCAATGGGAACCAGAGGCAACAGCAAGGTGAACTGCCAGAATGCCATGGCAGGAGCAGGTAGATGCCCCAAATCTCCCATGGCCCCACAGCAAAAATGGGGTGTCTGTCTCCAGGAAGGAGCGGTAAGTGTAGGCACTTTGGGGGAAAAGGCAAAACAATATACTAGCTGGTGATGGCCAAGAATAAAAGGGAGGATTCATACCCAGAAGACCAGTCACTAGGGCACCTCAGTCTATGGAATGTCCCCCCAAACCACACTCACACTGAAAACAGTGCTGCGAATAGCATTCCTTGCAGCTGTTCCCGTGACTCCCCACCAACATAGCTAAAAAGATGAGAGGTTACACTTAAGAATCACAAAGCATCTGAGGAAAGCCAATACCAAGAGAAACAAAAATTCAACAAGTGAATTTACATAAGAGGACCAGCTAACAGTACATTCAAAACCAAGATTTAAAAATAAGTATAATCTCAGATTCCTATAATTATATACATCATTACAACTACTTGAAAGTTGCTAAGAGAGTAGATCTTAAAAGTTCTCACTCCTGAAAAAGGTAACTGTGTGGGGTGATGGATGTGCTCGCTAATCTTGTGCTGATCATTTTGTGATATATAAATGTATCAAATCATGTGTACTCCTTAAACTTAAACAATGTTATATGTCAATTCTATCTCAATAAAGCTGGAAAAATTAAAAATAAAATAAGTATAATTAATATCTACAGAAAGATAAGGCAAGATTATTGCATCCATAAAATAAAATCAGATTATAGGATCTGATATTGATGAAACGTGAGTAGTTGGTTATGAAAGAATAATTAGAAATCCTGAAAAGGAAAACTAATCGTTTAAACAAAAAACTCAATAGAGGGGCTGAATAGAAAAATAGATACCAATGAGAAGCAAATAAGAGAGAAGAATGGGCTCAGAAATTCTCCCAGTATACAGAATAAAGGAGCAGACAAGGAAATAATATAGAAAGAATTGTTAACAAATTAATAGCTGAACATTAAGATAAACAGAGAATCCTAAAAATTATCAGAGAGAAAAAGTATTTCCTACAAAGGAATGAGCCCTTGATAAACACCTGACTGCTCATCAACAACCTTGGATGCAAGTAGAAAATAGAGATCTCTCTCCAAGCTGATACCGATCCATTTACCTGAACTGGCCTTTCAACCAGTTGGAATCCAGCCATTAGGATGATTTGCCTCCCAAGACTGAACTTCACAGATGTCAGCTGAAGTTGTTCCTTAACAGGACCCAGATGGCTGGTCCAGGAGTCCAGAGAAAAGAGTTCAGTATAGACCCTCGGTATAGCAGGAGTATCAGGAAGGTTTTCAGTTCCTAGCTACTAAATACCATGGGTATCTCTGGAGTAATTACAGTTCTTTTAGGTAAGAGCTGTTCTTCAAAGGTAATGTTAACGAGGGAAAATACACATTCTGGTTGGAGGAAAGAGAGATGGAATCAAATGCAAGGCTAACCTGTGACCAACAATGTGGAGGCTGTTTGCTCCCAAAGACCAGATTCAACATTTGAAAACACTATAACCTAGTCTATCATCAACTTCAAGAATGTTGAGTTTTAGATCAAGAAGAAAGGGATCAAGGAGCCAAATCCATTATCCTCCAGTCCCACTAACCCTCTCCAAAGCTGCATCTATAAAGAGAAATGAAGGGGGCAAAATCCAGATACCACATTTATTGAGTACCTACTACATTCAAATTACTAATGCTTAAAGAAGGGAAGTGACTTGCCCAAGTTAACACGGTAAGTGGTAGAGCCAAGACTGAAACTCTGGTCTGCTTACGAGTTCAGTGTTCTTCCACCATAACACAGCTGCTTCTAGAAATTTTCTAAATATTTGGAATGACTGCCTCCTCCTCCTCCTCACTGTCATAGTGAGCACCTCTGGGACTGAGCAAAGAGAGTATCTCCAAGAAGAAAGACCGATGGGCCAGGAATGAGGAGACTTAAATTCTCAACAGGTAGGATTCCACTGTTCTCTTAACACCTTGGATAAGCCATACATCCCTCTGGGTCTCGTCTCCTTATATGCCCCCCCAACACGCCACTCAACATTTTAGGCCCAGCAGCAGGATCCATCAAATCATTCAGCTGTGTAGTTCATCACTGGATGGACAGGATTGTCAGAAGCAGAAGAAGGGCCTAAAAGTGGCCCCAGATAGCATCCTGGTAGCTCCCTGAGCCTCCTGGGGCAGCACCTAAGCCCCTTTACCATACCTGGCAATATCTCTGGCAATTTGCTCGTTGGGACAGTTGACAAAGACGATGGAGTAAGTGCCGGAGACATAACTGCCAGTGACAGCTGAATGGAGCTGCAGGCTAAGGGTCCTGAGCATGGGGTAAGTCAGGAAAGAAGCTGTCAGGATCTAAATGGTGGGAAAAAGCACAAGTCAGCAGTGACATGACAATTCGCTATCTCCTGCTCAAGCAGATTGGAACCAGGGCTGGGCATCATTTTTTCATATCCATTCCCCATCCAAAAAAATAATTCCTGGGATCTTGAGCTTTAGTACTTCAACAAAGTTCTGTAGATATTTACCTCTGCATTTTGCAGATGATTAAAAAAAATAGGCTCAGAAATCAAGAAGCTTGTTCAAAATCACATAGCTTTTATTTGGTTGAAGCCAGGATTAGGACTCAAGTCTGGATGACGGGAAATCCATTCTGATGGAGGTAATGCCAACTGGCATCCACTGAACTATCATCCTGTGGAGATTATAATGAATGATAAGCTCTTACATCTAATGATGTTTGAGGAGTTACCTTCACCTCCATTCATTTGTATATGTGCCAGGCACTGGGTAGGCTAATGGAAAGGGTAGCCTAATTCTAAGCAATGCAACCTGTGCTACTAAACTAGGTACTCAGGGACCATAAGGAAGGCTCTACCTGAGGGAGCAGAAAAAGGCTTGGAAGAGAAGATTCATCTAAGTTGAATCTGGAATGATAAGTGGGATTATAAGAGGAGAGGGACACATGCTAAGCAAATAGTAATATGTACAAACTCAAGAGGTGTTAAGGGATAGATGAGTTAGAGTCTGCATGGGTCTTAGTCTGTGGGTATGAGGTCAGGAGGAAATGAAACTGACTACAACTATAGAGAAAAGGGTCAAGCTAAGGAGACTGGAGTTTGTACTCAAGTGGTATGGTATTTTTGGAGGTTTTAAGTAGCAGAGTAATAATATAGTGAGGCTGAGTAGGGTACCAGGAGAGAGGAGGGAGAATGACCAGTGATAGCCTACTTACACGGCCATTACAATAATCCAGGAAAAAGACTTGAAGCTAAGATAATAGCAGTGACAACGTGAAAGGAAAAGGCACTCAAGAGATTTTTCTTACTATTTTAATGATAAACATTTAAAATAAGAAGAAATGAAAAGAACTGGAAAACATCTTCCTTCCCAGGTTCTCTGCTTGTGGAATATAATGGAGTCATTAACAGAGAGAGGCAGCTTGCAAGGAGTCCCACTGTGACTTAAGCCAGGCTGAACAAGAGGGTGTTTCTCCTGCCTCCCGCCCAGGGCTTCTTTCTTGCTCAAATAAACCTCTGTCCTCCCACTCCTTTTATGCTATTGCCTAAGTCCTGCCTCCTACTTCTTGGCAGGGCCTGAGCAGTGTTTTTGTCTTCAGCTTCAGTTTGACTACAGGCCTGTCAGGGTTGGGTTTTCTCATTCCCTCCCACTACCTCCACCAAACCACCAATTCAACATACTAGTCCACTGAACTAAAGCAGTGACCATGCAAGAAAAAAAACACCCAGACTTCAAAAGCTTTTAGTATGTGTGCACAATAGGATTTAAATCCTAGTGTGACTACTGCTGCCTGTGGCCTTCAACAAGTTACCACCTCTCCTTCTATAAACCTTATCTAGAACGTGGAGATTATGACACTGTGCTGCCTATCTCAGTTGCTATGGGTTCACAGGAGATAGGAAAAATAATTTGTAATCACAAATTCAATAAAATTGAATTTCATGCTTTGCTCACCACTGTATCCCCAACACAGTTCATGGCACACAGCAGGTTCTCAATAAATACTTGCAGACTAGTGAATTAATTCATCAGCAAGATGTTATTATTAAGACTAAATAGTCTTGTGAAAAAGACAAGTCTTTGTTAGCAGTGCTTTTAACAGAGAACTGGGCAGACTGGAACACTGTAAGGAGTCCACTACATGACTCTATGGGAGCTTCTAGCACATACTCCAAACAAAAGGAACAATGGCCTGTCCCCCAGCCAAAAAAGCCACTCTGAGGGAAGATCTGAGCATTCCAGCTAGCAGGTAATCTATCTATATAAAATCCTAATATGCAAATAGACTGAACGGCTGAACAACCAAACAACCAGTTGCTATGACATGCACTGACCACGCATGTGGAACATGGAAGGCATCAGCAGCAGACAGCAGAGCACGGAACATGGCAGCATCGGCCGCAGCAGGAAGGTGGAGCAGGTGAGCAGGGGTGCCAGACCAAGGCGGGGTGCTGATCGCTGTCATGGGGCGAGCCTCTGGTGGTTACTAAAAAATCTCTGCTCCTGCACCGTGGTCCCACCCGGTGCTTGCACCTATTCCGGTGACGGTCCCACTTGCACCCCAATCACTCGGCGCCGTCAGCGGGTGTGAGTGGCAGCTGCTGGCCCTGAGCACCCCTGAGGGCTTCACCACCTCCCCTTGCTCCTGAGGGGTGATTGGGGGCAGTAGCTACGACTCTCATCTGCTGCTGGCACCGGTCCCAGTTGCTCTGCATGGTCAGCGGGTGCAAGTGGGACCAGCGCCGTCAGCACATGGGAGCAGTGGTGGTGGCAGGGGTGGGGCTGCTGGCAGGAGGGGCCAGGTGGGGGCATGGAGGATGGGCCGAGACCCACCTTTGTGCCCACTGCAGCCTCACAGCCCACAGTTCCTTTCAAGGTGCACGAATTTGTGCACTGGACCCCTAGTAAGCAATAATAAGATTAGCAACACAGCTAATAAGATTAAATATAAGCTCACCCAAAATGTATTGAAACTCTTAGGTGAGCTCAAAGTCAAAATACTAAGTTTTTACATCTCTTGATGTTTGAGGAGTTAATTTCCCCTCCATTCAAGTGTATATGATATGTGCTAGGCACCATGGATAGGCTAGTGGAAAAAGTAGCCTAATTCTAAAGCAATGTGACCTGTGCTACTGAAGCTGAGAGCTGTGCTCTCAAGTATTATCTAAGATAACCCTAAATTTAACAAATAAGATAACTGAAGGCAGAACATTTAGAAACTCTGCAACAGAACCAAGACTTACATCCAAGACTCCTGCCTCCCATTCAGGGCTCTTGGAACCACAATGAACACAACTAGGAATTGATATAGTGGGGCCCATTCGGCTTCACTTAATCCAATGGTTCTCAAGGCAATTTTGTACGCCCAGGGGTCATCTGGCAATGTCTGGGGATAGTTTCTATTGTCATGACTGGGGAAGAGATGCTATTGGTATTTATTGGGTAGAGGCCAGAATTGCTGCTAAACATCCTCCTGCTGTACCACTGGTCACACTGAAATACAGATAGTTGTTTACATGTCTCCTCCATTAGACATATGCTCTTCAGTCTCATTCATTTCCGTATTCCCAGCACTCCACAATTCTGACAGGGAGTATGGGCTTGAGAAATGTTTGTGGACCATATCAACAAAGTGTCAGAAGCATGAAAGGTTAACCTGGAACCAAGGTTGGGCTACAATATATTAGGAAGTGACATTATATGAATGCAAAATTGATGGAAGATATACACATCACAATATTCCCTAATAGGAACATTTTAAGATATAATTTTTAAGTCTACTCAACATTTTCCTATTTGTCTTTTACTACATACCTTTTCTATTTTTACATTTTTAAAAAGTATTTTATGTATTGTTTCAGTTATTTTTGCATTTTATTCTGCCTTTTTCCTTTTTTTTTTTTTTTTTTTTTTTTGGTCCTAGAATATTTGCATACCTCTAAGAGGTAATGGTTGACTTTATAGTCTGTGTTAAGGCAAAGGGGGCCTCAGAAACCACCTAGTGGTTCTAAATTTATAACCCACCTAGTTTGAAGGAATCCATGAATATTCTGAAAGACTACAACATTGTGTTTATCTATACAGTTTGCTTGTGTACAAATCCAGAACTTTCTAGAAAGATAATCAAGAAAACCTACAGGCCCCAAAAGGGTAAGAGCCACTGATGTGTGCCAATTGTTACAGATGAGGAAATAAGAGTCGGAAGGAGGTAGAAATCACCCAAAAGTGATCATCAGAGCTGGGCTAGACCCTAGGCTTCCGACTCTCTCCATCTCCTGAACCACCTCCACCACTGGAGATACTCTGTAAATGGTCACTTCCCAACCTTAACATTCTAAGATATTTCTAAGACAGAAACAAAGCCCCCATAAAGGCAACATGGTAACTGCAACAGAAAGAAAACAATCTATCAAGTGACCCTTGGGCAAGAACTCACCACCAGATACCCCTGCACCTCCCTGGGAGTGTAACAGCCCGGCCACCCCAACTGACAGAGTGAAGAAGGGGAGCTAGTAGGCTTCAGAAAGAACCACACCAGTCTCCAGGATACCGGGTGGTGCCTCCAGGGCTTTTCCTGTCCGTCCCCTACCTGCCTGCCCCCAGCTCAAAATGCCAAGAGCAGTAAAGGGACGTGTGTCTTTTCCCTCAGTTCCCAGGTTGGAGGTAAGGTCGTAGCGTGGGCACTCACCAGGAGGCATAAAAGGACAGAGGGCCGAGGGTAGCCTGGCAGAGGACACCGTGAGCCCAGCCTATCCATGGCGTCGCCGGTAATTTAGCGGCACAGCAGCAGCGAATGTGGCCTCTGGCTGAGTTGCCGGCAGGGGGCGGGAATTTACGGCCTAAACCGCCCTCCCTGCCCCCATCCTCCCACCTGCTGCCTGCCCTACTGCCCCGCCCCAGGCAGGCTGGTTGGAACGAGATAGTGGAGGGGGCGGGGTAAGGGTGAGAAATTTTTTCTGGGCAACCCTCTCCCTAGATTCTACATACAACACAAGCACCACACGCAGACCTATAACCCTTACAAAAATAAAATACAAATTTTCCCTTCCCATGCCAACAACAACAACAAAAATACCTTAAAATCCCCAGAGATGTACAGATAAAAAGACGTAAGTTTCTTGGGTATACAAAACCTTCAGAAAGCAAAACACACAAACACTAAGACATATACACTAAACTCTCCCACTTTATACAGCCCATCCAGCCAACAAGAAGTGAGATACCCTCTGCTGCTTTCCTGTCCCCCATATCAGCCCCCGCTCCCAGGATCTCCCTTCTAATCCTCCTGGGTTTAGAACACTCTTGCTCCCAACTGCTCTCCCTATGAACTCACTCAGCTGCTCTGTGCAGCCTTTCCCAGAGTTAATCCCAGGTCCTGTGCTCCCCTGAGGCACTTGGCACACACTTCTGTTGCAACATTTAACATCAACTATGGGGAGATGCAAATAAGCAAAGCAGCAAGCTAAAGACTGTTGCCCTTCAGGAGTGCAGAGTCCACTGTTGTCAGGGTTTCCAATTTTTTAATCCAGCCTTTTAATGTGAAATATCCTATGGCAGGAGAAGGGATTGAGTGCACAAGACTCAAGTAAACTTTTTAAAATTAAGGGAGCTGTTCTATATCTTGGTTGTGGTGGTAGTTACACAAGTGTTAAAAAACTCTACGAAATGTACACTTTAATTGAATTGTGTTGTATGTAAATAATACCTTAAACAGAAAGGCATTAGGGGGGCACTGGAAACCAATTCAAAACCGTTTTAAACTGAGCAGCTTCAACAAAACCTATCTGGTAGCCAAATCTGGCCTGTGGGCTGCCAGTTCACAGCCTGATTGTTTTAAATTACCTGTTCGCCTGTTTTGTCCCATTCCCTGGGACTATGAATTCTCAAAGGAATGATGGACTTCTACCAGTGTCTGACAAATAAATCAGTTGCATCCCTACTCTTATCATTTACATCATTAGCTGTGCAGGCTCAGGCAGCTTACTTAACCTCTCTGAGCTTTGGGGGGATGGGGCTTGGTGAAGGATGGGCTGATAGACCTTCATAGGTCTCAAGTGAGGGTTAACAGAGTAGATGAATGTAAAAGTGCTTTGTAAAATGTAAGACCATGTCAGCATTTCAAGAGCAAGTATTCTCATGGCAACTATTGTTAACTTAGAAAATCTCCATTTGCAATGGAAGAACTTAATATCTGGGGGAAAACAGAGTTACAATAAATGAGGCCCAGTGTCCTAAGAAAACCTTTATATTCAAGACTGTGATCTTGGATACCTATTACCTTAAGAAAGGCCACCGGTTAATGACCATTTACCTTAAATCCTGAGATGATATCCCCAAGTTTAGTACAAAACCCCACACAATTTAGGCTTATAAATGCTTGTTTAACAACGAAATGATATGGATTATAATAATGGTCATGATGAAGGTGATTTGGGGGCAACAGCGCCAAGGCTAGCAAGAAATTAACTGTTATTTGGAAGAAACTGCCTCTGGAATCTCTTCTTCCTTCAACTAAGGCGCCTTTAACCTTTCCAAATTCCATTCCAAGGTTAGATTCCAGAAGTCCAATCCTGCATTTCTGGTTTTGGCAGATTTTTCAGCTATAGTATGATTTTTAAAAAATATATTTTATTGATTTTTACAGAGAGGAAGGGAGAGGGATAGAGAGCCAGAAACATCAATGAGAGAGAAACATCAATCAGCCGCCTCCTGCACACCCCCCACTGGGGATGCGCCCACAACCGAGGTACATGCCCTTGACCGGAATTGAACCCGGGACCCTCGAATCCGCAGGCCGACGCTCCATCCACTGAGCCAAACCAGTCAGGGCTATCGTATGATTCTTAGTGCCACTGCTTGAAGGCCCAGACTGTTCCTCTGGAGGCTTCCTATCCTCTAACTTTTCCTCCTCCTAATAGGATTTAGACTCAGGCTGACTCCCCTAGACTCATTCTGTATCCATCTTCTTCATCCACACTTCCTCTATATTATGTGTCTTCCTTCTCTTCAACTCCTTTATTTTGAAGCTCCTGCACCTTTTTATAGATATACAACAATTTATCAAAACTTTTTTAAAAAGCCAATTTCAATCCAGGAAAGGATCCATATTAATTGCAGTATAATGAAGACTTAGGCAGAGTGTAAGACAGTATTCAATTTCCTTAGGTTCATCGTACCTCTAATTCTGGAGACTTGTCTTCTTCCTTATCTATACTCTTATCACCAAAACTTGAAACTAGAGTAACTTATTATTTTCATTGATATTGATGAATTTAAAGCCCATCCATTTTTGTGGACTCTGATTTTTTCTCCCCAATGTCTTCTAGGGAAACATGCATAATCATTCACATCATCCCAAAGCTTCCACCAGACTTTAGTAAGAGTAGCTGGTTTTGCCCTGACCGGTTTGGCTCAGTGGATAGAGCGGATAGAGCGGCGGCCTGCGGACTGAAGGGTCCCAGGTTCGATTCAGGTCAAGGGCATGTACCTTGGTTGCGGGCACATCCCCAGTAGGGGCTGTGCAAGAGGCAGCTGATCGATGTTTCTCTCTCATCTATGTTTCTAACTCTCTATCCCTCTCCCTTCCTCTCTGTAAAAAATCAATAAAATATATTAAAAAAAAGAGTAGCTGGTTTTAT